AATCCTTAACAGTATCAAGGGGTTCTACAAAAGAATTAAACACAGAACTATCAGATGATCCATCAATTCTACTCCTAGGCATATACCTAAAACAATTTAAACCAGGGCCTTTATGATAGCTGTGTATATCCATGTTCATAGTGTCCTTATTCACAATAGCCAAAAGCTAAAAGCAATCCAAGTGGCCACTGATGGATGACTAGATAAATCAGCCTTAACAAGGAGGGAAACTCTGATGCCTGTGGCAACATGGATGAACCTTGAAGACATTTTGCTAAATGAAATAAGCCGGGCACAAAAGAACAAATATACTTAGAGGATTTCACTTCTATGAGGTTCCTAAATGGGCAAATTCACAGAGACAGAAGGTAGACGGGTGGTTGCCAGGAGCTATAGGGTGGGAGGAAAGGAGAGTTCATGTTCGGGGGGTAAGGAGTTTCAGTTGGGAAAGATGAAAATGTTCAAGAGATGGATGGTGGAGATGGTTGTGCAATACTATCAGTGTGAATGTCGCCAAGCCATACCCCTACAAAGAGTTAAGACAGTAAGATTTACACTGTACTCATACAAAGGGGCTTCAAAAAGTTCATGGAAAATGGGGTATAAAGGTTATTTGGGCACAAGAAATTTTTGAAATCCACACAAAGTGTCTCTAAAAGGTTCATGAAAAAATCCATGAGAAAGCTATGCATGGATTTCAAAATGTCTTACATCAAAACAAACTTACCTTTTAATTCTATTTTCCTAGGAACTTTCTGAAAGACCTTCAAAATTTTTATTATATTTTACCACACACACTCAGGTGAGTATCATTAGCAATCACTGAAATAAATCATGAAGTTCTTTCTAGCCATCTCAAAGAAGCCATAGCCAATAAAACAACTTTTATTTTTTGGTACAAAACACTCTCGGGAAAAAAAATCTTTAGAAAATAAAATTAGTACAAACCAAGCTTATTTTATCCTATCGGGGTCACTCATCATAAAATAAACAAGGAGAGGAACAGGAAATGAGAGACTAAAATAAACTCTCTGCTTAAAGGGGGAAAAAGTCACTCCTACAAGCTTATAAGCAGATATTAACAATTTCTCTGAAGATTTGCAGCTTAAAGAATTCCAAATACCATCCCCTCTGCCCAGTCCTTGAGGTGTATGCATTTACTTCCCCTCTTAGAGGAATCATCTTTCTTTGGTGTTCAGAGTTGGTTACTCTGGAGGGTGCCCCACAGAAGAGCACTGTGCCAGCGGGGCACTCGTCAGGGTGGGAGGTGACTTTCTCTAAGACAGGTAGGAGAGAAGGGAGGCAGTGTGACAGAAGAGGCTATGAGCTGGAGGAGGCTTATTAGGAGATAGAAACGTGAAAGGCTGTTAGGATGGTAAGCTGCTAATCGTTGTTTCCAGACAATGACACAAAAAATAAAAGTGGCCTGTGCTCCAGCTGGGTGGTATTTGAGGTTGGTGAAAATCCAAGACAACAGTGGCTTCAGCTACACAGCAGTTCATCTTTCTCTCTGTAGTAACTCGGTGATGGTGCCAGGGACCCAGGCTCCTTCTGTCTTGTGGCTCTACCATTCTCACTCATGAGCCAGTGTGACAATCTGAGGACAAGGGTACTTCAAGAAAGTTCATGGAAAGTGGAATTTAAGGGAAGTTTATTTTGGTGCAAAAGTTTCTGAAATCCACGCACAGTTTTTTCATAATATACCTTTTCCACAAACCTTTTGAAGACTCACTGTATCAGCCATGAAATCTGTATTCTGGCCCTGGAGACAAAGAAGTGGGTGGAGAAAGTTACTCCTTCCAAGGACAAAAGCTACATCTGACAGTCCCAGTGCATCCCAGTGGCCACAACAGCCTCATGGCCACACTTAGCTGCAAGAGAAGCTGGGCCATGTGGTCTTTATTCCAGAGAGCTAAAAGGGGAGAACCCAAGTTGGCATATGTGATTAGCAATCATTGGTGCTAGGAATTTAGGTAGGAAGAAAGAATTCTGGGAGCTCCTTTTCAGTCTAGGTAACTACGAGATTTTGACAGCAGATTCTTCTAGACCCTCCGGCTTATTTAATGCTCATGCTTCCTGCTGGGTTTTTGTTATCAGTTCCATGCCGCAAACAAGAGTACGAAGATCCCAAGAGCTTATGTCACTTATCCAAAGGAATGCTATAAACTGTGCCGTTGGCTTCCACATTCTTCAGAATCAGCCCCGTGTGGTCCCAAATCCCCTTCCTCTCTGGCACCAGGAGGAGCTCATTAGAGTCTGGCCTGGGGATGGCTGTGTTGGTCTAGACAGGGTCACCTCTATACTCATGTGTCTTCTTAACTCCTGACCACGCCATGGAAGAATCAGGAGGCTGTTGCATGGCAACTCAGCCATCACCCCAGTGCTCTCTCCTTTTATCCAAAGCCTCGGTTGGGCTGCTGGCTCACTTGCTCTGGGAGCTGATGTGAGCACTCTGGGTGGGGGGACTTACTCATCCTAGGGTTGCCTGCTATACCCTCTTTCATGGAGAACATTCTTGTGCTAAAGTGTGTGTGTGTGTGTTGTGTGATGCTGACCACTAGCCCCACAAGGCCAAAGAGAAAATGGAACATTATCCACAGACATCATTACCCATCCCTTACTTACCCACCCAACACTGACACAACCATGTTAGGAGGAAATACCTGAAACTGAGAACGCTAAGAAGGTCCCTTTTATTGGCTTGCTTCTCTCTTGGTGCTTATATATGTTCCTTTCACCTTTTTTAAAAAGTTTATTTATTTATTTGAAAGGCAGAGGATAAAGAGAGGGGGGAGAATCTTCCATCCAGTGGTTCACTACACAAATGAACACAAAGGCCAGCACTGGGCTGATCCAAAGTGCGGAGGCAGGAACTTCTTCCAGGTTCCCCGTGCGGGTGGCAGGGACCCAAAGACTTGGGCCATTCTCTGTTGCTTTTCCAGGCCACAGCAGCCAGGACTCAAACCAGCGCCCATATGAGATATCAGCACTGCAGGCAGCGGCTTTACCTGTTATGCCACGCTGCCAGCCCCTGCCTGCTCCACTTCTGACACAGATTCCTGCTAATGTTCCTGGGAAAGCAGCGGAAGATGACCCATGTCCACATGCCCCTGTACCCATGTGGGATACCTGGATGAAGCTCCTGGCTCCTGGCTTCAGTCTGGCCCAGCCCTGGCCCTTGAGATCATTTCAACCAGTGGATGGAAGACTCATTTCTCTGCCTCTACATCTCTCACTCTGTAACTCTACCTTTCAAATAAATAAATGTTTAAAAATGGTTCTGGGACCAGCACTGGCATAGCGGCTAAAGCCTCCACTTATAACACCAGGTTCCCTTATGGATTGCTCCACTTCTGAGCCATCTCCCTGCTAATGAACCTGGGAAAGCAGCAGAAGATGCTCCAAGTGCTTGAACCCCTACACCCATGTGGGAGGCCCAGATAAAGCTCTTAGCTGTTGGCCCAGCCCTGGCTGTTGCAGCCAACTGGGGAGCGAACCAGCAGATAGAAGATGAATCTCTCTCTCTCTCTCTCTCTCTCTCTCTCTGTTTCTCTCTGTCTCTCCTTCTTTCTCTGTAACTCTGACTTTTAAATAAATTAATAAAAATATTTAAAAAAAATACATCTTTCCTTCCACGACAACCACACCTGAGAACTCAGGACCAAAGGCTGCCCAAAAAAGAAGGTAAATCACAATCAAATTCAAATACATCTGTTTCAGAACATCCTCTCAATTGCGCCAGCCCCTGAACACTTATCCTGCCCAACAATCCTCCGTTATCTGTGACCTAGGCTGAGTTCAGAGCTGACCTAGATAGAGAACACTTCCTAATTTCCAGCCATCCAAACCATCTGGTCCTGGATAAACAGGTTACCTACACAGTTGGAAGCCTCCTCACTCAACTAGCTTTCTCCTTGCCAGTTTTCTAATAAATATTTCCTACCTCGCTCTTTACACGAAAAAGAAAGTGTGGATGTCCTTTTCCCCTGAAAGCCAAGGAGCTTACATTTCTAACCTTGACAACCCTGCAGAGTCGATCGGAGCACCTGAAAACTCTGGAGAGAGTGGGAAGAGAGAGAAGAGGACACAGCCTGGATTCTTGTGGTCACAAGGACTTGGGCCTGCAGAGTTGTCTCTGTGTGCTAATTGAGTTGATTTAAATATTTTAAATATTTGTGGTTGGGGGGGGATGCCAATTATCTTCAAAATTGAGATTCTGTTCTTGGCTACAAATGCTTTTCCAAATTCCTTAGGATTAAAGCAGATTGTTCTCCAGGCTCATGAGCTATTTTTATCTGCAACAATATGGAGTGCACGCACCTGTTTGCACGCACGTCTCTGTGCTTGGAAACTGTGTTCCCTGTGTTGAAGGCACAGTTAAGAGACAGTAAGATTGGCATCTTAACACCTAGGTGGATGGTGCTGCTGTGGGACGAAGGACTGCCCTCCTTTACAGCTGCTCTTGTCTTTTATGATATTTTGGGTTCCTACAATCAGTCTTGTGAAACAAACTAGACCTATTTTTAGATGCCTCCATTCCCAATCGTGTTCACTGTTGTGGTCTCTATTCTTTTGCTCAAGCATTTATTTAACCATGTAAAGCATCCCTGCAAGGGGCTACCATGGACAAAGCCCTCTGCTGATCGCCACAGCAGACACAATCTCTGGCCCAGTTCTATACTTGCAAGCTGTCAACAAGTAGTTGACACAACCTCAGTCTCTGTCCCTTTAAGACAAGGCACCTGTGCTATCTTCCATGGGACATTACCTTCGCTACACTTGTGAGCTTCTCTTGGCAGCATGTCTTTTCAAATACCTGCTGACCATTTGTGTGTCCTCTTTTGGGAAAATGTCTATTCAGGTCCTTTGCCCATTTTAAAATCAGATTTTTTTTTTTGCTCTTGAGTCGTCTGAGTTCTTTACATATTTTTATGTTAATCCTTTATCAAATACCTGGTTTAAAAAATTCTATTTTGCTGATTGCTTCCTTTGCTGTGCAGAAGCATGTGTGTTGGTGGCAATCTGCAGTTGGCATCGCACACCACAAGTCCGAGAGACAGGTGGCTCACTCTTGGAATGAGGCTAGAGCCCGCATGGAGCTGTCCATCCCAGCCATGGATACAAGCACAGGTAAGTCACACAGAAACTGATGTCACATCAAAGCTGGCTTGTTCAGAACTTCACACCATTTGTTGTCACATATTTGTGCTATTTTTACATGTTTCATTATGAAAACTTTCAAAAGAACATAATGTAGACAGAAGAGTATACTAAAAGTTAGATATTCATCACTCACCTCCAACAACAGCTCCGTCCATATTACTCCCTGTTGTGAATTCCAGACATCCTCTCATTTCACCCACTAGTGCATCTGTAATTGATAATGACTTTTTTATTTTTGACAGGCAGAGTGGACAGTGAGAGAGACAGAGAGAAAGGTCTTCCTTTGCCATTGGTTCACCCTCCAATGGCCGCTGCGGCCGGCGCACCACGCTGATCCAATGGCAGGAGCCAGGTGCTTCTCCTGGTCTCCCATGGGGTGCAGGGCCCAAGCACTTGGGCCATCCTCCACTGCACTCCCTGGCCACAGCAGAGAGCTGGCCTGGAAGAAGGGCAACTGGGACAGAATCCGGCACCCTGACCGGGACTAGAACCCGGGGTGCCGGCGCCGCAAGGCAGAGGATTAGCCTATTGAACTGCGGCGCCGGCCTGATAATGACTTTTGAGAAATGTAACCATCACACCATTATCCATCTTAACAAAATGAACAATTATTCCCTAACACTGGATTAGTTCTCTTAAACATCTCTCTTTCAGGTTGATATTTTTGCCAAAGTTAGAATCTAAAAAAGGGGATTGGCACTGCAGCATAGTAGGTAAAGCCACTGCCCTGCTCACTGCCTGCAGTGCCAACATCCCATATGGGTGCCAGTTAGAGACCTGGCTGCTCCACTTCCAATCCAGCTCTCTACTAATATACCTGGGAAAGCAGCAGAGGATGGCCAAAGTGCTTGGGCCCCTGCACCTGCGTGGGTGACCCAAAAGAAGCTCCTGGCTCCTGGCTTCAGATCAGCTGAGCTCTGGCCATTAAAGTCATATGGAGAACAAATCAGCAGATGGAAGATCTCTCTCCCTCTCTCTCTCTCTGCCTCTGCCTCTGCCTCTCTGTAACTCTTTCAAATAAATAAATTTTTTTAAATCCAAAACAGGCTCATGTATTTTATCAAATTGTCATATCTCTTAAGTCTCTTTTGTTCTTTAATAATTCCCACTCCTGACTATGTCAAAGTAAAAAAGCTTCTGCCCAGCAAAGGTAACATTCAACAAAACGAAAAGGTAACCTATAGATTTGGAGAAAATATTTGCAAACCATATATCTTATATGAGGTTTATATCAGAAATATATAAGGAACTCAGACAACTCAATATCCAAAAAAAGCAGATAACCTGATTTTAAAATGGGCAAGGGACTTGAATAGACATTTTTCCAAGAAGAATATAAAAATGATCAGCTGGTATATGAAAAAGTGTTCAACATCATTAGTCTTCAGAGAAATACAAAGCAAAGCCACAAGAAGACATCGCTGCACATTTCTCAGGATAGTTATTATCACAAAGACAAAAAATGTCAAATATTGGCAAGATGCAAAGAAAACAGAATTTTTTTAAAAAAAATATTGCTTATATGCCTATGCCGTGCTTTTTTTTTTTTAAAGATTTTATTTATTTACTTGAAAATCAGAGTTACACAGAGAAAGAAGGAGAGGCAGAGAGAGAGAGAGAGAGAGAGAGAGGTCTTCCATCTGCTGGTTCACTCCCCAATTGGCCGCAACAGCTGGAGCTGTGCCGATCCGAAGCCAGGAGCCAGGAGCTTCTTCTGGGTCTCCTACATGGGTGCAGGAGCCCAAGGAGTTGGGCCATCTTCTACTGTTTTCCAGGCCATAGCAGAGAGCTGGATTGGAAGTGGAGCAGCCAGGTCTCTAACTGGCACCCATATGGGATGCCGGCACTGCAGGCCATGGCTTTACCCACTACACCACAGCACCAGCCCCTTTCCACACTTTTTATAAAATATCTACAGTGGGTTAGGCTGCCATCTGCAGTGCCAGCATCCAAAGTGGGCAACAGTTCAAGTCTCAGCTGCCCTGCTTCTGATCCCGCACCTGGGAAAGCAGCAGAGGATGGCCCAAGTCCTTGGGTTCCTGAACACACATGGAAGATCCAGAAGTTGTTCCTGGCTCCTGGCTTCAGATCGGCCCAGCTCTGGCCATTGTAGCCATTTGGGCAGTGAACCAGTGGATGGAAGATCTCTCTCTCTCTCTGTCTCTCCTCTCTCTTTGTAACTCTGACTTTCAAATAAATAAATAAATACTTTTTAAAAAATGTTTGTATTTGAATGTTTTAAAAATTATTTATTTGAAAGTCAGAGCTACAGACAGAGGACACACACACACAGAGAGAAAGAGGGTGGGGGCTGGCGCCGTGGCACAGTAGGTTAATCCTATGGGCGCCGGTTCTAGTCCTGGCTGCTCCTCTTCCAATCCAGCTCTCTGCTATGGCCTGGGAAAGCAGTAGAAGATGGCCCAAATCGTTGGGCCACCGCATCCACATAGGAGACGGGGAAGAAGCTCCTGGCTCTTGGCTCCTAGCTTCGGATTGGTGCAGCTCCGGCTGTTGCGACCATTTGGGGAGTGAACTGACAGAAGGAAGACCTTTCTCTCTTTCTCTCACTGTAACTATGCTTCTTAAATAAATAAATAAAATCTTATAAAAAAAAAAAAAGAGAGAAAGACGGAGAGGTGTCTTCCATCCACTGGTTCACTCCTGAAATGACCACAAAGACCAGGGCTGAGCCAAGCCAAAAAGTCATGTGTTTAATCTGAGTTTCCCATGTGGCAGGGGCCCCAGCACTCAGGGCAGCCTCCTTTGCTTTCCCAAGCCATTAGCAGGGAGCTGGATCAGAAGTGGTGCATCCAGGACATGAACCAGCACCCATGTAGGATGCCAGAGTTACAGAAGGCAGCTTAACCCACTATATCACACTGCCAGCCCCCATAATAGAACTCCAGTACATTGATGGTGGGAATGCAAATTGGTATAGCAAATACAGAAAACAGTGAAGAAGCTTCTCAAAAAAAAAAAAAAAAAATAGAACTATCATAGAATCCCACAGCGCCACTCTGAGTACATATCCGAGGGCAGTAAAAGCAGTATGTCAAAAAGATGGCTAACCCTTGTGTTCACTGAAGGATTACCTACAATAGACAAGATATGGAATTAATTTAAGTGTCTATGAACAGATGAATGGAAAAGGAATATGGATATACAATGAATACATACACAATAGAGTACTATTGAGCCTTTCAAAAGAAGGAAATTGTGTCAATTATGACAACGTGGATGCACCTGCAGAACATTAGCCTAAGTAAAATAAGGCAGATGCATGCAAAAACATTGCATGACCTCACTCATGCCACGTAGAATCTGAAGATTCTGAGTTCATACAACCAGAGTAGAATGGTGGTTATCGCTGGGAGGCCATTAGGATGAGACAGCTCCAGTGTCGTGGGTTCTTACCTAAGCAAACTGAAACTCAATTCAGCATAAAGGGTAGGAGGAAATCTGAGCTTAATCAATCAGAAACTACCAACTAACTTCCTTTTTAAAAAAAAAAAAAAAACTATTTGTTTTATTTATCTGAAAGACAGAGTTACAGAGAAAGGTAGAGGCAGGGAGAGGTCTTGTATCCACTGGTTCATCCCCCAGATGGCCACAACGGCCAGAACGGTGCTGATCCAAAGCCAGGAGCCAGGAGCCTCTTCCAGGTCTCCCACCTGGGTGTAGGGGCCCAAGGACTTAGGCCATCTTCTACTGCTTTCCCAGGCCATAGGAGAGAGCTGGATCGAAGCCAGAACTAGAAGGCTAGAACTGGCACCCATATGGGATGCCAGTGCTTCAGGCCAGGACTTTAACGTACTGCGCCACAGTGCTGGCCCCTGCCAACTAACTTCTAATTAGGGGCTTTCTTCTTGAATGATCCAAGTAAGTTTAGTGCCCCCCCCCCCCCTTAATCAATCAGTATTTTCTTTGTCTTACTTGCGCTTTCACAATATAGAAGTCTTCCCTTTGTGCCCCTTCAGGGCACAAAACAAATATTTGGGGGGCTGCCTGACTCATGAATCAGCTCAGATAAACTCTTCAAAATTGAAGGTGCCTATGTTTATCTTTCAACACCAGGGAAGAGGAGTTGGGGGATGATATAAGGAGGTGATGGTCTTGTAGAAGGATGGAGAAGTTCTAGAATCTATTGCCCAGCATAGTGACTATAGCCAATAACAGTGTCACGTTACTCTATGCTTAAAATTTGCTCCAGAGTAGATCTTCAGTGTTGTAACGACACACACATTGGTAACCATGGGGACTGATGAACATGTTAATTAGCTTGACTATAGGCCACACTTTCCAATGTATATGTCTATTAAAACACCATTTCAAGGGCAAGCACTTGGCGTAATGGGTTAAGCCATTGTCTGCAGTGCAGGCATTCCATATGGATGTTAGTTCGAGTCCCAACAGCTCCATTTCTCATCCAGCTCTCTGCTAATGTGGCTGGGAAAGCAGTGGAAGATGGCTTAGGTTACTTAGGGCCCCACAGCCCAAACTGTGGGAGACCCAGATGAAGCTCCTGGCTCCCAGCTTCAGCCTGACACAGCCCCTGGCCATTGCAGCCATTTGGGGAGTGAACCAGCAGATCAAAGATCTCTCTCAATCTCTCCCGGTCTCTGTAATTCTGGCTTTCAAATAAATAAATACTTAAAACATCATTACACTCAAAAGATAAGTTTCTTTTGGTGCAAAAATGTTTTTTCATTTATTTTTTCTGTTTTTCTTGAAAACAAATATTAATATCATAAAGTGAGAAATTCATGGGGAAATAGAGTATATTGTCTTTTACATGGTATCATTTAATGAAGCAATATTCATAACTATATACCAAATGATATGACATCCACAAAACTTTTATACTCTACAAACTTCCACAAATAGCAGAAAACATGGGATCTTTGTCTTTCCGAGACTGACTTATTTCTCTTATCATAATATTCTCCAGTTCCACCCATTTTCTTGTA